TTTGGCAGTATATGTCACGCTTTGGCGTTTCTGTGATTTTTGTCGACTGAGTTCGAAGGTCAAAAGGTGACGACGTTTCTGAGGTCAAAAAATGCGGTTTCTGTAATATTTTATGGAGTTATTCACTAACGTGATTTTTTTTTGAATGTTTGATATTCTATACCATTTCCCTTTTAGAAAGAAAGAGTAAGCTAAATGAAATTTTAACTTTGTAGCTAATGAATTTACGTTTCTTGTTCAAAAAAATATAGTTTTAATTGGTCTATGCGGTTTATATATTTTAGAAATTTAGATGGTTATTCAAGAAGCTCAATTAAGCTCATATTTTTATACATAATTTACCATCAAAATAACATTTGAACAAATTTAGTGTTATTTTACATGTTTGTTTTTTAAAAACACTACAAAACGTCAAAACGTGTAATCTTTCTATATATGAAAACTCTCCAAAACCTGTATTCTGGTCTACATCCATCCAACCGTTGCTCATATCTTTCTTTGTTCTTCTCCCTCGTGTTATTTTGTGAAAACCACCTTATATTTGTTGGTGTTTTAGTGTTACCATGTAATTTTATGTAACTGGAATTAACATGTCAGTTAAGGGGTTTCATAATTTGTATTATTTATATGTCCAGGTTTGTGCGAAGTGCATGCATGTATAAGACCAAATTAGAAGCTCGTTAGATGACAAGTCGGGAGTCCGGGGGCAGCACCCCTGAGTCCGGGGTTTCCAAAGGGGCAACGCCCCAAAATCTCTCTGAATTTTACATATAAGAACATAGTGGAAAATTAGGATTTTTGACGGTGGTTATGGTAAAACTAATGAAACTCGTTATGTTTGGTAACCCTAAATCCTGAATCCAGATTACCCTGACTTGCTTCCAAAGCAACTTATGACGGTCCAACCCTAATAAAACCCTAATCTCATTTATTATATAAACGGTTCTTCCTTCTCATAACATGAAATTTAGTTCTCATTTTCTTCAAACTTCTATAGAATCTTTCTAGCAATTTGGCTTACGATTTCTGTGCAAAGTATCGTAAGTGTCCACTTGGATTATCGTCGGCTGAATTTCTTGCAACCTAGACATAGCGTAGAAATATCAGTTCGGAAAGTGTTCTCACAGTCCAAATTGGTATCCAGATCTCCACCACAAACCCTAAATATTCTAACAATACCTACATCCCTTTTTCGTTTATTTCTTCTTGAAACGAGCAACACTAACACCTCTGTTCAAAAGGTTTTAGATTAGTTTCTTGGTGGTGTTTGTTGGGTGAACATGGTAAATAGTAGTGATACAATATGATGTTTGTTGATGGAGATTGATGGCGGTGTTGAAAGTGGATATTGTTGGTTGGAGAGGATAACCGGAGCATAGTTTAAGGTAAATCGTTACAAAAAAAGATTAGTAGTAAATCTTGTATATAAAAATTAGTAACCTGCAACACCCGATTAAAATGGTAGGTTTTGAACAACTCGTATAAGTTTAATGGAAAATCGTATAAAAAAGTAACTAAATACATACTAAAATGATTGTTCCCATATTTTTTTTATTGCATATTAACGACAATAATGTTTTAATCTGACAAATAAACTTGTTAGTGAATCGCAATTCATAAGAACACTATGTTCTTATTGTGCCCGCGAAAGAATTCATGTCCACATGCGAATCATTCTCCTATCAATTTCTATGTAAGACGTTTTGTTTAACCATTGTTGTTCCATGAGTAATTTATTACCTGATTTTGGCTCAAATTATATAGATTCTATTGTGATTGTTTCACTTGGAGAGCGGACTTAAGTAGAATACCGGTGAAAAAGGGACTATATGTTCGAGGTGTAAATGTTGGTTCGACCTTGTGCAAGAGTTGCAATCGCGTGGAGGAATGCATCGATCACACTCTAATCCAATGTCCTAAAGTGACGGATACAATGAGGAGGATTTTCAATCGCAATTCATAAGAACATTTACTATCTTTCTTTTCATTGATGATAGAGCTTCTTGAGTTCGGAGCTAGATGGGGCAATTGTCCAAAGAAAAGAAAGATTTTTTTTTACTATAATACAAGGTTATACAAGGTATGCTATGGCACATTTTAAAGGCAAGAAATGACTTGATTTTTAAAAATATTCACAAGTCATATAAGAGATCATTTCTAATTCATTCATATGAGTGAAACATAGGAGCAAATTTACCTTGTAGTTGATTAGAATGGGTTGCTTGTCCTCTTTAATTTACTTGTAAAACTTTGATCTTTTTGATCTTTCTCCCCCACTTAGTTTCTTGCTAAGCTTGGGCTTATATATATACTAGTTGTGAAACCCGTATATTATACGGGTTGATTAAAACAAAATGTTAAATAGAAACGATTAAATGAGAAGCTTATTTGAATTTAAATTTGAAATAAATAAAAATTATGAGAAAAAAAACTTACAAAAAATAAATAAATTAAAATTATTGTTTAGTTATCAGACCCGTATACTAAACAGGTTAATTCTAACAAAATGTTAAACACAAAGGTTTAAACTGTAAATTTACTTGAAATTGAAATTGAAATTTAAAATTTAAAATTTAAAATTAATATCATTATGGTAGGTTTAATTTATGGAAACTAATTAATAATATATTAGAAATGGAAAATGAAATAAATGACAATGGAAAATAAATATATCTCTAAATTATGACAAAATGACATGTGGCAAATTGAATGAGAGAAGGACATGTGGCAAAATCATTCTTATTTATTAGGGTAGATTATTAGGGTATATATATATATATATATATATTTGCCATTTTTAAAAAAACTTAACAAAATTGATTATATTTTCAAAGCTACTCAAAAAGAATAAATAACGTTATGGTTCTAAGACTTATTCAAGAAATCCATCACATTCAAAAAGAAATCAATAATTACTTTACAGTTTCAAAATTATGGAAATAAAATTATTGTGTGGCCATTTCATAATTATTGCAAATCTACTTACATAATTTAAATGACTTTTTGTTTTTTATAGAAAAAAAAAATGCAAACAAAAGCCCTGTAAATGTATATACATCATAAAGTTTGACCCAAGTGCCCACTTGGGTCATGACTAAAAAAAGAGAGTTTGAGAAGTAGATTTAGGGATGTGCATGAGGCTTCACATATCTTGATCAAAGTATATATACATTTTGAAATGAGAGCTCAATTATCAATCTTTTAATTAATTTTGTTTTTGTAGTTCAGCAAGTTTTTGGGAGGTTTTATTTGTCTGCAACTGCTTATGATTTCTTATAGTTAAAGAGTAATTTTTTTTAGTTTGTTTAAAGGCAAAATGGTTATGTATTTCAACGAAAATATTAGACTTAACGAAACTTCCTGAAAATCAGACCACAAAAAACTCAGTACAAAAAGTAAAAAAATAAAAAAACTAGACTAAAATTACAAATGTCACCACACGACATAAATTTTATTTCTATAAAATGACAATCTTGATAAATTTTATCTCTCTACCACACCACATAAATTACAAATTGTTCCCAAAGAATCATAAACTAAATTTTATTTCTGTAATTGGCTCTAAAACTATAAAATGACAATCATTCCTTATAAACTGAAGATGCCCCCATCTAATTTAGACAATTTCCACCTCAAAATTTGAAACGAATTCACAAGAAAGTCGCCAATCGCAAAACCCCTTAAACCCTATTTCTTTTCGTCTCAAAAACCCTAATGCAAATTGGGCCAATTCGATTCTACAATTTCCCACCTCCAATGCAAACGGAATCATGCTCATGTTCTTGGTGACCATTCATGCAGATGCATCATTCTCGATACATTTCAGACCGTTACAATCTTTTTGAGATTTGATGCCAATTGTTCCCAAAGAATCATCAATGGGAACCGATGAAGAAATCTTGAAGAATTCGAAAAAATTGGATTCATCGAGTCCCCTTAGTTTGACTACACCGTGTCTTACCGATGAACTCGACTGGTCGCTAAATCTTAACGATTTCGAACTGAGTCTTCTCCATGATTTTATTAGGGATGGCGGGAATGGGAGTTCTCCTCCTCCCGATGATGAAACCCTTGCCGTAATTTCCACAAATGTCGAGTTATCCACAGCACCACCACAACACCACTCAAAATCGCCGGAGAATTCACCAAATTTACCGGCCATGGCCGCAAGCCCGCAACTCATCCCGAGGTGGTTTCTGGTGGAAAGGATCGCCGAGCTGCGACGCTAGATAAGGACGCTTTTCCTCCATCGCTTCCGGGGAGGAGTTACAGAGGGGTTAGGCCACAGAAGGGGGGAAAGTGCTCGGCTAAGATAAAATTACGAAACCCGGGGAAGAAAGCTAAGAACATGTGGATGGGGACGTACAATACAGTGGTGGTCTGGTGGAAGCCGCCATGGCCTTCGATAGAGCAGCTGTAAAGTACCGTGGATTAGGCGCCGTGCTTAACTTCCCGGAATTAATTGGAACCCACGATCAAAGCCCTGAGAGTATTCCACAAAGAAAAGCTCGCCGTCGCCGAAGTCGGAGAGTTTGTCGTTGGCTCCGTCGCAGGAATCGTCAACCACCTGAAAGAGGAGACACTGTACATGCAAAATAGTACATTTTTCTAAGTTTTCTCTGAAAACAAGTGTTGTGTACATGGTAGATTAATCAAACTAGAAAATGCTTTTGTTAGCTAAAATCAATATATATTTTGTAGACTTATTTTAGATATGAAACCAAAAATGTTGTAAGACTATTTCTAACCCAATGTGTGTTGTTCATTTTATTGAGGTCGTCTGGTAGGGGTGCAATGACCGATCCAAAATAAAATGAGGTAGTAGCACACATGATTTTAGAGGCCGTAGCCAGAAAATTAAACTGTGTCGGAAACTTTCTCAAAAAAATTCGACTTCGCCAAAAAAACCACATCAAGGTCTGTCAATGTTGTCATGTATATATATAGAACTAGTTTATTACCCGTGGTATCCACGATTACAAAATTTATTAAACATTCATAATAAAATTTAATAATTATTAATCAATTATTTTAATTAAATAATTTTAAATAAGTTATTAATTATTAATTAAGAGATATATCAAATTTTTTAAAGTTATAATAACTTAATAATTAACATATAATTAGAAAATGTAAATTTGAATTTTGAAGTGTGTTGTCTAATATATCTACATAACAAATGATATAATATTAATGAGGATGTTGTATGAGCATGACACTTGGCAAATGGAGGTTAAAATTATTCATTTATTAGAATAAGGATTAGGAGTAGTATAGGAATAAATTAAGTCTATCGTTTAAACCATGATATACTAGGGTGGTCACAGTGAACACCACATCCCTTAGGTATCGTTTGGCAAGTAGAACAGGACCGAACATAACAAAACTTGCTAATATAGTGTTTGGTATGGATGGAACAAAAAGTCAATGGAACAAGAATATGGTCAATGGACTAAAATTGGTAAATTTAGTCCCAACCAAAAGGGTGGAACCGAGATCGACAGAATAAATTACTCTTTTCAAAGACTAAAATGTTCTCTCACCATCTACTCTCACGTTAATATGCTGAGCGTAAACCTCCACAAATTCTCATACATTGCCTCTCTCAATCGATCCTTGTCTGCTATATATATTAATTTCCTTTCATCCTGCTTGTCTACATCTAGGTCTAGCATACACGTATCTTCTCCGGACATGCCCTAAAACGAGTTCACCTGGTACGACAATAGAAATGCTAAATGCTAATCCATCAACTGCTTTCTAGGAAATCGCGAAGCATTTTCTTCTTCCTTGAGATTTATGTGTTTAATTATTCCAAAAAGTTGACATTTGATCTTGTCGATTAGGTTTAAAAAACGGCGATTAAATTTTTGGAATAGATTTAGAAGAAGGAGAAGACTGATTAGGTTTTTTTTTTTTTTTATTTTTTTTTTATTTTTTTTTTATTTTTTATTTTTACAGTTACTTAGATTTGTGATTTATTGATAAAACCTTAGTATATTTCTATGATTTGATGTTAAATCTTTCTTTGGCTTTGCAATTGTGCGACACGTTTTTTTTTTTTGTTCTTTTTTCAATTTGGATTTGAGGTTTTAATGATAGTTCACCGTTCAATATAGTTGATAACTTATTTTTTTAATATATATATATATATATATATATATATATATATATATATATTTTGTTGACAACTCACAATTTGTTATTAAGCAAATTTTGTCTTTGAATCCAAAGATTTTATATGTACAACTCAAAGTTTCCTGTATATTTTTTCTTTGTTAGAATGCAGGTCTCATTGGATTTCTTTTATGTTTGATTTGAGAAAAGTTTATCGAAACACTTAAATTAAATTATCAATCAAAAATACACAAATAAAAGTCATGATTTAAACAATCAGTTAAAATTTTATTAGTTTTATAATAAATGTTCATTATTTATAATAAGGGTAATTTGGTAATTTTAACATCTTGTTATTTTCTTTTCGAAGTTTCACCTAACGTTAGACATACAATCTTTTGTGTTCAGTTCTGTCTAGTTCAATTCACTTTTGTCCAGTTCGCCCAATATTGTCCCACTGCCAAACGTTGCCTTAGTGTGGCGCTGCAAAATGGAGAGCACATTGGTAAGATTCCCCCGAAGCTATGGTGTAATGAAACTCTTTAAAAATTACAATACAATGAAAATCAAGTAAATTGAAAGTACATTTTATCTATCGGTCATAAAACGTGAAATTTGAGTTGGTTGTTAAACCTAAATCATCCCTTAAATGACTCAAAAACCATGTCCAAAAATTTAAGGTCTCTACTACCACAACATATGCCAAGGGATATACACCATTATTACCATTGAAAGCACGTGAGAGAAATAAATTTAACAACATATAAACATAGGAAGCACCAAAACATAAGGAAGGAACAATTTACCATAGTAGATAATATTTGACTCGGATATGGTCCTTTCATGAAGGCACCATCAAGGCCTAGAAAGTCTCGTTTCCCTGCTACAAATCCATTATTCAAAGCACCAAGACAATCCGTTCTTCAAAGCACTAAGACAGGCATACATACGCCTGAAGATTCTTGTCTAACGTTTGGATTGGGTTCACTCTCGACATCAACAATGATAGTGGTGTCTGGGTTACGATTTTGTACCTCCAACAAGTAATCTTGTAATAAGGTGTATTGAGTAGCATAATCACCCCTCATAATTTTTAAAGCTACTTCTCGTGCCCTAAATGCTTTCATCTTAGAAATGTAAACCCTATACTTACGTCGGAGTTGTTCCCTTAATGCCCTAACAGGAATATAGAGGTATGTTTCAACCTGTTGTAGAATATCCTTTGCTAGAAACTTGTAATCACATTATTTGACTACCCTTGTTTGAAGACACTGATGTTCCTTGATGTATGTTTTAACACTCCACTTAATGGTCATGCTTCCATTTGATAATATAAATAGCCCATGGGCATTTATTCTCTTCATTGACTATTTCTTAATTGGTCCCACTAGTTCCCATACCTCCTAGGGTTGGTATGGTTCCCTGCACGCAACCTTCACCTTGTTTTTGTCATTTTTATCCAACTCCAATTCCCTTCTCGTCTCTATTGCATGTAGTTTTACCGAGTCCTTGAATTCTTTTGAAGTATTGAAAGTCTGACATATATAAAATAGGTCACTAACCTGGGCATTCTCATTAGCATGTGTCATTTGTATAACTTTGATAGTTTTCCTACATTGACCATCATTTCCTTCATCTGATAAAGACTTAGTCAACTTTAACACCGTAAATGTTCAAACGAATTTTTCGTTTAAAATTACATAATTCTCATAACACATTTCACAAAATCTCATTTATTTAATTTACAAATCACAACTCATAATTATCTAATTAATAATTCAGGATCCTTAAAACATAACTCTTTCTCTGGTGTGTACAATCAACCCCACAGTAATCACGAAGCTTAGTGAGTTCCCCAAAATACCACATACAACTCAATAGCCACTCGAGGCTATAACTCTATAAGACTCTCCAGTCAATGTGTCTCAGTGGGACCCTCTAGTCCCACAACTCTGATGGACCCTCCGGTCCTATCTCTGTGGACCCTTCGGTCCTAACTCTGTAAACTTAGAATAATACACAGTATAAATCACAAAGACATAATGCAGGATATTACAATACTCAATATAAACAAATAATACCCTCTGGTCACATAAAAGTTACCACTCTAGGTAAAGTATAGTGAGAAGACTCACCTCAGATGATGAACAGCTCCTAAAGATGATGTTGCTGCACTGGCCTCTAACACTGGACCTAAATCCACAATTACCCCGTTAATATTGATCATCATTTCCTTCATCTGATAAAGACTTAGTCAAGAATACATCATTATCAAGCACTTTAGGTTCTTCATCTTCTTGTATGCTTTAGGTGTGGTTGTTGTAGTTGCACCTCCAACCCATTCAACATTGTGGTCAATGCTCATGTGGAAATCATGCATATCAACATCTAAGCCATGTATCATACTATCTTTGTCCACAAGATAATCATCATCATCACTGTTGGTATCATATTCACTTTCCATGTCCATATTGGCTCTAAAACTATCATGATCACTTACATTTTTTGTCACACCCCAAAACCAAGAACGGCGGAAACGTTCTGGGGTGAAGGACGTCATGTAAAGTACCATAACACAGTAAATGTAAATAAGCAAACAACATCATCCATTGCATTAAATATATAATTTTAATACAAGTGTGTTCTGTACAGTATAGACACCAAAAATAATGTATATCAAAATAATAAGATGAGTCTTGAAGGCGCTCCATCTTCTCAAAAGCTGGCCTCGGTACCTGTCTACTGATGACCTGAGAATACAAGTTATTTTGAAAGAGTTTATCAGCATTAAGCTGGTGAGTTCATAAGTATTTTAGTGTCGGTATTTGTTATCCAAAAATGTTTGAACATGTATCAAGTATAAGTTTGTAAAATGTATGTAAAGGTTTGCAATTGTTTGTAAAAGTTTGAATCTCTCAGAAAAACCTATATTTTCTATTAAAGTAGCCTTCTACCAAGGCTTAACTGTTCTGTATGCTCGTTTGATGTAAAAGTGTGTAATTTCCCAAGTGTAACTATCATTTAACAAAATATAGTTTGTACATTAACGTTTAAGTGAGGTTATCACTAAAATATGTAATGGGTAAATCATTGTAGTACTGTAGTCTTGTATTTTAAGAACTACTGTTGCACTAACTACCTTAACCAGATTTATATTAAGGTATTATGTGATAAATTGCACCATACTATCGACTAGTAACAACGACATAATGAATGGTCGTAATAACGGAATGACGTTTGGCACCCGCAGACCTGCAGGTCCGGCTGTAGCTAGCAGCAAGGTGTAGGATTGTCAATCCAGTATAGATCTATACGCAAACTCACGCTCTCCCTCCAAGAGAATTCTGGCTACAACTCGAGCCATGACATTTAAGTCATGCTCCGATTTAAATCACAATAATTAACGTATTCATGTATATGTAATGTTTCTCGTTCTAGTATAGTTGTATATGTATTGTTTCTAGTCTAGCTGTATACGTATC